ATACAACTCATGCTACTGTATGGTTTTTTTTATTGTATTGGTGAATGCCTTTAGATCTTAGTACACTTTGTAGACATGTTTTAGCCATGGTGGTTTGCCTTTTTTTTCTTCTTATTACTTCCATTTATCGATCATTTAGGTTTTTTTCTTTCATCAGTTCATCACCCAACAATTATGAGTTGAGGTAATACAGGACACCCCATTTAGACTGTAAATAGTGTGCCCATATGTGCCCAATACCCCGTTTTATCATTGATTAGGAAAAGAGTAAGAATCATTTCGGAAGTGTGAATTTTAGACTTTTCCACTCATACTATAAGTAAATTGTTTAATTATACTGTCTTTGCCAACCTGTTTTTCAATTCCAAAAAACACATATACAACCAAAAAGTACAACAGAGGGTAGCTCCATCCAAGCTAGGTTGGGTGGGATTACTCCAAACTTCTCTAATAATCCACAAAGAATTGAACACCATTTTAATTTCGTCTTGTAAGAATGCCACTGATTGTTGGTTCTGTGCTATATAAAGAGGATTGACATCCTATTTGATGAGATTTTCTCCAAATTTGTGGTTGTCCAACATGGAGGTATAACCATTACTAAGCCATTGTGCATTGATCCATTAAGTTGCATTTGATATGTGATGGAATCTTCAAGCTCGCTAAACTGAAATGTGGCCTCCTAAAAGACATTAAACTTTTAATTACATAGTAGATTCTTGTGTGGTGGTTGATATAATAGCTTTTTAATTTGAAACATTTAGCTCGTACGCCTTATTTATCTCTCTTTAACATATAATACCACTGCAGATGATAGAGACATCCACACTAGTTTCTTCCGGTATTATTAGAACACATATCTATTAGTTCATAGTGCTATATATCTTATTTATTTTTGGGTGCCACCTAGCCACACCACTGCGATTTATATATCTTATTTGTTTTTTAGGTCTTTGTACCAGTGATTGATAATATGTGTCTTAATTGTACCTTTGATTGGTTGTTATTGCTGTTTGCTTGAATAGTGCTATAAAGCCTAGATGACAACTTAGCTTCTCATATTGCCCTATTTGTGTATTTGTGAATGCATGGATTCACTATTAACTGATGACATATAGTCGATATTTGTGAGTCACTGTTTACTTAATCTCAGAAGTGGAAGCCAATAGAATGAGTATCTATATTTTAATTTTGAATTTGCTTGGTTGTCAGTTTTTGCTGTTTGAGTCAACTTTTTTTTTCCCATGCTATATGTGTTTACCTCAATGGATCATTAGCTCAAATGGTAGAGCACTTGAGAATAGTTGCACATTAATACTATATCTCTAGAGATGGTGGTTCAAGTCCATCATGATCCACATCTGTTTTGTATATTTATTTCTAGACATTTTACATTCGTTTTAAATAGCCCTATATCATCATATATGTAATTAAAGTAGAACAATCACTACTGTTACTTGACTGTTTCTTAATAGCTAGGTCTGCCTCAAAACAAATCGCTTTCATAACAACACACTTAGACCTTAAATCCCCTGCTTTTCCTTTTTCCTCCAGCCTTTTCAAACTTGCTTCCCTTGGACCTTACATATGGCTTGGTGTGGCTAGGTGGCACACAAGGAGCTTTGCCAATTTGCTTCACTGCTTCAACGACATTCTTAGGGCCTCTGAGGAGATTGATATATAGGGGATTTGTGCGCTGATGAGAAAGAGATTGATATATAGGGGATTGGTGCGCTGATGAGAGAGAGATTGATAAGAGATTGATGGCTGCCAGCCTGCCACTTCAATTGAGTAACCGGAGATCAATTGAGTA